CTGGTGTGTAAAAGAGTGACTGTATCTTGTACATCAGTGGTTGGCCATGAGGATCAAATGAAAGGACAAATATGTAAGCACAATATATTCTAGAAAGCACCATGTATATTTAAATTCTGTTCAATAGCCTTTATATGATAGCTTAAGGCAATCCCATCACATCATGAACATAAAAACAGCTCCAAGAAAGAGCAGAGCTTGTAAGTTCTCATGAGAAGAAGTTATAACTATGTGGTAATGGATGTAACCTAGACTTATTGTGGTGATCATTTTGTAACATAAATTACATATCATTGTGTTGTACATCTGAAATTAATATAATGTTCTATGCCATAAATACCATATATGTTATATTTTAAAAAACAGCTCAAAGGATGATCAGGGCATAGAGGATTTTGGATTTTCGGAGTATCTTGCTCAGGAATTAATTCCATTTACCATTACTTATAGAAATATTTTTTTAAAGCCTTCACCGTCTGGGTTACTGGTTTACATACACTTTCATTCAATTCTCATGTCCTACTTTTTTTGTTTAAAATACAAGCCTGACCAGAGGACTAACTTCTAGTTCTGAATTCTCAAGTTGGACAGAGGTAGGACTGGAGAGAGGGGAGGGAGGACAGACCCATAATCAGAAGGGGAACTCCCAAATCCAAAATAAACATAGAACCACACAAAAATGCCCTCTGGAAGGCCTTTATTTGTGTTGGGATCATTGAAGTTCCTGGGTGGTGCTGAGCCCCACTTCCTGGTACTCCGTCCTGCAAAAAGGCATACCTGGTGCCGCTCGGCAGTGAGGGCAGTCAGTTGTGCCCCTGCCATCTATGTAAACACTGGGCAAAACATCTACCTTGACTACCCCTACCCATCCCATCAAAAGGCCCTTCTGCTGAATTTGTAACACAGCCAGGATAGCACTCAGTCTGCTGAAGCAGAGCTTACCGCTTAAAGTGAATTTCTGTTGGCTGGAGTCAAAGTTAGCCTTTACTTCAGGTTGTCTCCCCCTCACGTGTCATTGGGGCCAGCAGACAATGGGTCTCTGGAAAGCCAGGTACCATGATCACATTGATGTCTGTCACTCTATCCCCTGGTCTACAGCAGTCCTTTAACAGCAACCTCTTGCTGTTTCCAGATGGCATTAAAGGTCTTTGTCATTGAGAGGGCATTTAATCCAACTAAGGTATTCATTATTTACTGAACACTGAACAAGTCATCATGTGGAACAGAAACCATGCTAGATACCAGCAGCAGAAAGTGATTCATAGTGATTAAATGTTTTCAGCAGAAGACTGTGCAAAGGGCAACAGGAAAAAAGAGGGAAGGGACAGTTTAGTTCTTAGCAAAGTTTGGATTGGGGGAGAGGGTGCAGGGGGTGGCGACATGGATGGGAAAGGTTTCCAGAGGAAATGGCATTTTTGCTGAGCCTGGAAGGAGAAAACAGGGGCCGTAGTGCCCTAGGTGGGAGTAGCATGAATGAAGGAGGGGAGCCCCAGACACGTTCAGTCATCTTCTTCGCTATGAGTAGTGTTTTGTTGTGGAGAAAGGTGCATGAGGCCAGAAACAGGGTTAACGATGTCTAAGGAAGGCCTGAGTGACATGCCAAAACTGGGTTCATTTATTCTGTGGGTGACAGGCCTCATGACAGATTTCTGGGCAACAGCATCCCATGACCTGTCTTACCACAAATGCTTATTTTGGGGCCTCCCTGGTGGCGCAAGGGGTTAAAACATGCTATGAAGCTATCCGTAGCCACTGCAGAATGTTAATCAGATTCCCCGGCCAGACAGGTGACCCACATGGCACAGCAGACCTCTCCTGCCTTGCTCACTGAGCCCCACATTAGTGTATTTTAGTCAATACACCTGTTCTATTCCCCATTCTGTCTCCGGTGAATCCTCTCTCCCCTTTACCTCTTGCCTGCACCCCAGTTCTTATATGTATAAGTAAAGAAATCTTTTTAAAAAAAGAATGTTTATTGTATATTAATTTGTCCATTTCATCAGCTCTCTGCCACTAGGCTGGGAGCATGTCGTAAGGCAGGACACAATCTCAAGTGCTTAACACAACAGCTGAGCGTAAAAGGAGCCTACCCAATAGCAAGTGGAGGAGAGGTTGCTCACTTGGTGGAAAGTTATAGAATACAAGAGGGCAGGAAAATAGAGGTGGAGAATGAAAACCAGAAAGAAAAATATATTCAAAGAAAATGAATCTTATATGGTGGGAAATAACTTGGAGTCCTAAGTCCCCTCTGAACACCAGCTCTGGTCCTTTGCAAGGTCCACTTCATTTGGGAAAAGTTCCAAGCAGGAGCACACATATCCACATTCTGGCTCCAGGAAGTATCTTCCCAACCATGAGGTAACCCCACTGAATTCCAGCTACTCAGCACTTTCTGAAGATGCCCAGCTGGGCTTGAGCCAAGGGACGCATGGGCGGGCAGAGTACAGAGCTCAGCCTATACACTCTCAGGACATCTGGCTGAGGTGCAGCATCCTCACCCTACCTGCATCCAGGGGAAAACCAAACTGACTCCAGGTCGTCATGGGAATTATCCAAACTGAGTCTAGGAGCCAGACATGCCCCAGCAGCAGCCCCACCTAGTAACCAATATTAGCATTCTGCGGGGCAATGAGAATTATACCAGTAATGTTTGTTTTCCTAGTCTATCCGGACCCAAAACAGTAATAGGAGCTGTGTTTTCATCCCTTCTATTCTGGGAAGGGAAAGAACAATACTAGCTGCTATTACAGAGCACCTATTAGGTGTACTCAGCACCTAAGGTTTCCCTCTAAGCCTTAAAAAACAACTCTGTCCTTAGGGTTGTTGTTTTGTTTTTTTGATGGGTATTACTATCTACACTGAAGCTAAAAACAAAACCAAAAATCAAGATTCATTTATACCCTGGTACATGGTGGTGAGGATCAAGCCCTGATCTTCCCCCACATCAGCAAGCCCCCGCTTATGTCAACTAACAGCATGAACTTGCTGCAGTCACAAGACCTGAAGACTCCCAGACTCCTCTTCCCCTACTTCCTTCTTCTGTCAGACCCATTAGAACAAGACAAAAGAGCACATTTGGAAGCCAATCTCCTGAAGCCAACCAAGACATAAGGAAGACAAGTTAATTGCCCATCATATTATCAGGAAGGAGACACAGGCATAACCAGGTAGACTGTTCCTGCTTGGTGTCAGACCATCCTAAGTTCCGAAGGCTTGCCCAAGCCACAGCCTCCTGGGAAACTCTGGCTTTTACCCCAAAACACCTGAGTAAAACTCTGCAAGATGTCTTCTATTAGAGAAATTCAAAATACTTTAACAGTTGATATAAAGAGGGGGTAAGTGCAATGAGGAGACTCATTGAGGAGACTCCGTAAGGCAGAATAAGAACTAAGGAAAGATCCATGTGCCGGACCTGAGTCCAGACCCTGGCACAGTCACAGTGAGACCATGGGCATGTCATGCCCTCCCTGAACCAAGCCAGAATTTGGGAGTCATCCTGGACTCCACTCTTCCTGTTATCTCTCACATCTAACTAGGCACCCAGTCAGTCCTCAGAACAACCACTCTAACAGGTCTGAAATCCACCTCTTCTTCAGATTGGTTTGTCACTTGCCATATCTCAGCTGGATTACTTATGAGCCGTATAGCTGGACCCCAGCCTCTAAGCTGTCCCCATTTTACTCATCATCCCAATCTGAGGGATTCTTCTGAATACACCTCTGCTCACCATACCTCCCTGCTCACCTGCCATCCCACCCCCTCCACTCCCATCGCTCAGCATGAAGTTCACCCTTCTTGGTTCAGTCCCCACAACCTGTGTCCATTCCCTGCTCTCCTCCCTGCTTCTCCAGTCGTTCAGCACGTTTGCCTTTGTCTGCATTTCCCTGAATGGACTGTGCCAGTTCAGGACCATGTATATCTAGGTTTCTCCTCCTTAGAAGAAGCTCCCCCCCTCATAAGCCTTCTCAGTGCAGTCCTTCAAAATTCAATGCAAATATTACCGCTTCCAGGAAGGCCCCCAGGAAATCTCAGTCTGATTTAGATGTCTTCTTTACTGTCCCCAGTGCTCCTGTACTTTCCTCTATCTTAGCACTTAGAACTATTGATCTTTCTATTTTACCTCTTGCACTAAGTTCCCTAGAGAAGAGGCAGTAACCCCAGACAAGGACCTCGGTTGACAGTGTATCCGTAGAAACACCCAGGAAGCTTATCACAATGCTTGAACACAAAAGGGGTTTCTGGATAGAAAAAAGAATGGATCTCCACCCAGTAAATAGGCTTCAGAATCTTTATACTTTGGGTGTCTGAAAGGCTCATCAGTCTATGTGCTCGAGCTCAGTTAGTACAGGAAAACTGTTCCTTCCACTTTGCCCACACTCTTGCCTTATGAAGTCCTGTGTGGTCACAATGAACTTTCTCAACCCTGAAAACCAGTTATCACAAATGCTTGTGGCCCCTGGAAGTAGTTTTACAGCCATGGTATGGGGCAGAGTGGGGGATGGGGGCAGCCAGCAGTCCCTGGGCCCAAGACTCAGAACCTCTAGTCAAGGAATGCTGTGGCCTGGGCTGTGCTGGGTCCAGAGAGCTGGCCAACCTCAGCAGTCCTCCTCTGAATACTTCTAGTTCTGCTTGCTTGGGAGTTAGCACTTTGGTCACTGACAAATTCAGTCTTGTGAAACGTGCTAGGTTTCAAGTTTCCTATCATTGGTCTGTGTATTTAAAACTTACACCTCATCTGTTTCCTAAAAGAGGCAAGTAACATGTGGTCTGATTAAGAAGCTTCTTGCAGTTATACTCTAGGTGAAGAAAGCCTCACATGTGAAATGAAACTGAGGAGGTGGGAAAGAGTGTTGTCTTTTTTGCAGGAGCTCAGACTTCTCAACTGTCTTAGTGCGGGAGTGGCAGGCCAAGTGGGGGCTGGGCCACTCCTGGTGATGACATTAGAGGCAACTGGACCCATTCTTCCTAATGGACTCTCTTTCCTCATCCCCATCACTGACCTTAAGATCAAAGTGAGCGATTTTCTTGGCGTGAAGGTAGTTCACCCCGTCCAGGATCTGCTTGATGAAGCTGGTAGCCTCCTCCTCACTCAGCGACTCCTTCTGGGCCAGGAAGTCAAAGAGCTCTCCTCCAGACACTCTGCAAGACAGCAGCCCGGTCAGCCCTGTGTGTCACGAGGCCAGGCCAACAGCTGGCTCCTGACATAGACGCCCAGGTACCCTGTATTGCAGGATCCCTCCTCATCCATTGCTGAGGTTCTGTCTAGCCAACAGCGCGGATTGCCTTTTGTGAGCTGTGTTCTTCCCTTTCAATCACAAAGGCATGAATTATCCTTACAGTGTCAACAGAAGGGCCTCTGCTCACATCCTAGGCCCAGGTCCCCAGTTATCCTGAATATTACTCATTCCCCTCTGCATATGAGGAGAAGACAGGAACAAATATTATGGGGTGACTAAGCGGAATAACTGCTAGACCAGAAACTAGAGACCTAACTTCTAGTCACAGACCTTCCTTCACTTTCCTTTTCCAGACAAGCCATTTCCTCATCTGCAAAATGAACAGATCAGCTTAGATGGCTTCTGAAGCCCCTTTCTTTGATTTTGTAAAAGATGGTTTCTTCCATAGCCCAAGAGAATCTAGGCAAAGTCCCTAATTTAAATATAAAGACCCATTAGTTACATCCATCTCTAAAAAACCTAAAATATGATTTTTGGGCTCATAATCCATATTCTCTTACATTCAATGCTTGGTATAACAGGAATAGTAAGTGACAGAACAAAAAGATTCTCTCCTGTAAACACTATAAAATAGTATTAAATAGATAAAATAGATTTTATTTGCTAAATGTGGTAACCTTACAGAGTTGCTCATTCTCTACCAAATGCTGGGGTGTCCATCTAACACATATGTCTCTGAAGTTAAAACAAAGTCAAAGGGTGTCCCCAAAACACTCTCAGGAAGATATCTGGCTGAAGGTCTAGGAACTCAGGATCAGCTGGAGAACTTGTTCATATGCCGATTTCCAAGTCACACTACAGACCCTTCCAAACTCAGTTCTCCACATCAAGACCTTAGAATCTCTATTTTTGCAATAACACCACAATAATAAAAGGAATTAATAATCATTAAGCACCCTGTGCCAGGAACAAAGCTACATGTTTTATATACACTATCTCATTTAATCATCACAATACCTATAAGCTAAGGGCAATAATTTTCCAATTTCACATTCTCATAGCTGCTTCCTAAGGAGTCAGGATCTTGTTCTACCACATCTTTTGCCAATCTGGACTGGGGAAGTGGGCCTCGTGTTACTCACACTTCCTCCAGGCTGCTGGTCTCCGTTCCTGTGCTGTCCTTGACCTGTTTGCTGTTCAGCTCCTTTCCTCCCCTCATTTCCTGGCCCTATCACCATTCTGGCAGGTGGGGAACCCAGCTTTGAGGTAAGATTGAGGTAGCCAGAAGTTTTCCTTGAGAGGCCTTGAGCCTCTCAAGGGCATAAATTAGGGGCTTATCTTTGTGTCTAGCATCCAGTGCATAATAGAGGCTGAGTAAATATTTAGAATGTGGGGGAGGAGAAGGAAGGTGAAGGAGAAAGAGAGAGTGAGATAAGATGGCCCACGTAAGTACTGTCTGTAGAGCTGAGGGAGGGTCCCTCCCCTTCCCCTCCCCTCAGAGCGTAGGTAGTCGCTGGCGGGGAGCTGCCTTCACTAGGAGCACTAGGCTAGTGCACTACTTCCCCTGTGTCTCATGGGTGAGGTCACCCTCTGTCTCAGTCTACCAGGGACAGCTGCTGCAACTAGGGTCTCCTTACTTCCGCTAAAGGGGTAACCCTGAGTTTGCTCTGCAGGCAAAGCACCAGGTGAGTGACCAACATAGACTAAACCTTCACCTCGAGGCAGAGCATGTGACTCAGGTTTTCTTCTTGGAAAACAGAAACAAGGAAAAAACCCAGTCTCGCTGCTCCCTTTAGTGCTAGGTAAGGGTTGGATGGGGGTGGGAAGAATCTTGAGGTAAAGTAGGGCACACGCTACACGAGAACTCTGACAAAAGTCTTCGAAATAGATGTCATATAACATGTCATTGTAAGGTGGTGTGGTGGAAGAAGGTTTGCTTTAGAGTTTACTTAGATTGCCACCTATGTAATGTGCCACCCAAGTAATCTCTCACTTGAGCCTCATATTTACCTCAAGGGGAAGGTGGAACAGAGGCCCAAGAGAAGTATCCTGCCCAAGGTCACAGCTGGTAAGTGGAGAGCCTGGCCGTAGACCTGGACTTTGATCACTCAGTCTACTGTGTGTTTCTCTCACTCTGCCCTCTCCACATGACAAAGCCTGAGTTGCTGGTACAAAACAAACAACTCAAAACCACCCCAAGCCCTGGGTAGTCCTCTGACATTCCTGTTCAGCTGCACCTGTGTGGCTGTCATACTGGACTGTCATTATCTCTCTGCCTCCACAACTTGATTATCTTTGCTGCATTAACACCTAATGCACAACATATATTCAGTAAAAAACTGCGTAAATAAAAGAACAAAGCAAAGAAACAGCACATTAAAAATATCAACATGACATAGAATATTCAGTATCATCTGGAAGTAAAACCTTGGTAGCTTTAAGAGATAGGTCCAGAGTTCTTTGCATATTTTCAAATCCCCAGTGCCCCCTCTGAAGCACTCAGCACCCTGCCTGACTTGTTTTTAATACTCCCAGCCCCTCCCAGGTCATGTGAGGCTGTAACCTCAAGCACATCCTGCCATTTCTGTTAAGTAGAATGATACATAAATGTAAAGTAGTATGATAATGTAGGTATGTCCAGTAACTCAAAGCCACTAATGTGGACAGAGGTCCAGGCTGGGTGAGGACTTTGGGGGACAGTACTGTAACAGATACAGGTTTCATGAACTCCACCCCCACTCCAGATCCTGGAACTACAAATCCCATCAAAACCAATGAGAAGCACGCTGGGACCTGAGGGTGGAGCTGAGCAGCCAGGTTGGGATAAAACCATATATGTGGGCTCCAGGGGTGGGGGTGGGGGGATCGTGTCATCTGGCCTGGTGGGTCACAGCTGGTCGTTAGGTTCTTGATCAGCTTTCATTGTGCTATTGGCGTTCCAAGTCAGCAGAGCTGGTAGGACACTTTAGTTAATTTGTATTTCTCTCTCTCTCTTTCCCTGGGTTGTTCCTTTTCCTTTCCCTTTGTAAATAAACCATTATTGAACCTTTTTGTGTGTGTCCACAGTAGGATTGAATCTTAAGCGTGCGGGTGAGGATCCTTAGACAACCCAGCTCACATTGGGATGCCCTGTAACAGTACCAGCCATTCTGCTTGAAGGGATAATCTGGACAGGAAACAGAATAAGACATGATCTCCTCTGGATGAATATGGGTACAGCCACTGTGGCCCTTTTAGGATTGCTCCCAGAGACTTGGATAGGTAGAAGAAAGATAAACCTATGAGGGAAATGTCCAAGTCCTGGACGCCTAGACCAGGGAAGCTCACGTCAATGCTCAAGCATCTCTTTTCAAGGTCATCAAAGAGCCTGGATTTTATTTTTCTCCCTAAGAGTTTCTCCCAAGGGCTCACAGCCTCTGGTCATTTCTACCTCCTCTCAAAGTCTTCTCAATTTGCATTCCTAACTTTTTTAGCTTAAATATGAAAGCAAAACCTAACAGCCTGGCCTCTTCTGCTCTCCTCCCAGTGTCCCCAGGATCAATTCTCTTGCTATCAGTTCCCACAGTGCCTCCTTCCTACAGGTGGCTCTGCCTGCTAGATACACTTCTTAGAACTCTTTCTAGGACATGTGCTGAAAAGACCTGCGTAGGTAAAGATTGGGGAAGGGTGAAATTGGGGTTGCCGGGCCCAGGAAGCTGGCCTCAATTTGGGGAAGTGGAATCATATTGCTCCAGTGGAGCACTCTGCTGGTCTAATCTCTGGTATGCAGCCCACATGGAGCCCAGAAGGCCCCAGACCAGTTAGGGGCTATAGCTGGGAGGCCCCCTACCCTTCCAAGACTGATTGACTTGTGTTTAGTGCAAGCTGTCTATATGATATGAGTTTATCTATGAGAGGTTTTAAAATATTCTTTATGCCATAGAGAAGTCAATTTGTATGAACAATTAAATCCTTCCCAATCCTGCCTTCAGCAGGCCTGATCAGAAATGGCTATTGCCTAAGAGGTAGATAGAGTAATAACAGCTGATAGGAACTTAAAATCAGGGCTGGGCATGATCCCCTAGTACTGGCCACTTTAGCAGAAAGCAGGAAGAAGGACTGCATCGGACAATAGCTGCTGAAAGGGGCAGTGGATCACGACAGGCCTATCCACAAAGCCTGCAAATGCCTCATGCTGATCTACTGGGCAAGTCCTCTACCCTATTAGGGTACACAAAGGACTAAGCCACTATTGGTTCCTGAGTAGCCCTTTAGGGGTCACCAAATCCAACACTAAAGTCCATGAGAAGCCTTTCTCTTGTGGACGGTCTACCTTCTCAGACCCTGGTCACACATGGCTCAGCCACAGGCTTAGCAGTTCCTAGATTCCCTGAACATGCACTCTGAGAGCAATGAGGCAGCATGCAAGGAAAGGAGGAGACAGAGGAATTATGAACAGACAGAATTTAACAAATACAGAGTTCATATAACTCACGGGAGCACCAGAGTGACAAATAATGCCATGTATGGTGACAACGCACAAGAGGAGGACTCAACTCTTTTGCTGACATGAGCTCTGCTGGAACATACAGGCATAGCTCAAGAGCACCTCAGATCCCAGTTCCTGGGATTTTACAAGCAGAGGGAAGGAGGCAATTTACCCAGAAATGCCATTTGAAGTGATAATAAATATAATTTTATAACTATAAAGGGCAATAAGTAATGAACCAACCCTGTTTTAAAACACAGGACTCAGGGCTGGCAAGGCTGCAGGCAAGTAGGAACATTCCTCTGTACAGGTGGTACTGGTTGAGCAACGCCCCTCCTATAAAGTGAGGCCACTAAGAGTCCTAAAAATGTCAGCTTCATCTCCCTATACCTTCAGATTTATCTTAAAAAATTAATTCAAATTAACCTCTGGTGGCATAGGGTTAAAGATACAGGGCTATCAAGCTATCACCAACCACTGCAGCAGGAGTTTGACCCCTGGCTGGCCAGAGGGTTGATCCACATGGAGTAGCAGATCTCTCCTGTCTCACCCACTGCTCCCCTCAGCAGTGTATTTCAGTAGATCTGCCTGTCCTGCTCCCCACTCTGTCTCCGGTGAATCCTTTCACCGCCCCGACCCCTGCACTTCTAGCCTATACCCCAGTTCTGTGGGCATAAATAAATAAATCTCTTTTAAAAAAATGTTTATTAAAAAAAGAGTAGATAATTCAATGAAACATATTATAGTCAGTTAAAAGAAAAAGGAAACTATGGAATTATGTTAAGCAGGAAGAAAAGTAGAACAGGAAATGGTACAAGTCTAGCGGTAGTAAACATGTAGATAAAGAGTGAGAGGAATCACAGAAAAACAAATGTTTGGGTGGTAGGATTATGAATATAATTTCTTATCAGTTGCTGTAAAGTTTTTCTGATAACAGACTTTTGTAGAAGTGGCCTGGACTTCCCCAGAAACTTATGCATCTCATCCTCTATTAGAAACCAGTGTGCCAACTGCTGGCCCTTGGCCTTGGGCCATGCCGCCCCTCAGGCTGTCCACATGTCTGGTCACAACTGTGGGAATCCACAGCCTTGTCTAAGCCCAAAGGCTGAGGGGTGCACAGGAGAAACACGAGGACACTGGGAGTTAGAGAAAGGAGAGGTACAATGGGTGATCCTATGCATTTAAACACAGAGATCAAAAATTTACAATAAATGCAAAAATATGCAAATACCCATCTGTTACATAAATATACATCCTGGCAACATCAAAATACAGTTTTCTGTTAGAATGTTCTCAAATGTTAGGTGGTACACCTAACCTATAGGCAGGTTAAGAATGGCTACCTGGTTTATAAGTAAGATCTGAAACTCAGTGGGGAGGTGACTTGCCCAAGGTCACAAAGTCAGGGATTGTTGAGACAAATGCCACCACTCCCTGGCTAACCAGCAGATGCAGGCATGCTTAAGAGGCTTAGAACATTCCTAACAAGGGCTGCTGCTTAAATGGACAGCCATCATGACCTGTGCCACCGCCCAACTCAAACTCTGTTGCTGCCAGAACCCAGCTCCCCATTCCATGGAGACACTTCCAGAAGAGACACCACATGCTCATACATGAGCAGCATGGACTCAAGTCCTGGATCTACCACTTCCTGCCATTGGTTCTAGGACCTTGTCGGGGACCAACTATCTCAGCGTTTTTATTGATAAATGGGGGTGATAATCTCTGTGTAACTGAATTGTAATGAGACACTGTGAACACACAGTTATTCTCCATGGTAGTAGGACATGTCCCTCATCACAGTGGGGACTGAACAAGATGACAACCATAAAGCACCTAACAAATGCTTAGTTTAAACTAGGGTACACTAAGTTATTACAATAAGAAAGGCATCAAACACAGCACAAATGAGGCAGATTTTTCCAGGAAAAGGCTAGAGAAGGACTTGGCAGAGATTGAGGATGTTTGTTCTTCTGCTCCTCATAATACAGACCCCTCCCTGACAGGCTTCTCTGCTCCCTATCTCCTCTCATCCTCCCACAAGCTCTCAGTCAGGAAATGACCCCAGAGTCAGCCATTTCTTCCCCTTGATCCCTAGGGACCAATGAAAGCCAGGCCTAGACCCTTGGCCTGATCTGCAGCTCAGCAAGCTGGCCATTACTTTGGCCCAGATTCGGGAGAATGAAGGGAAAGGAGAGAAAGTGTTCTGGCTCCTGAACCCCACCCCTCCACGCCCCTCCTCTCTTCACCCCTCCCCACCACATCCCCCCCCGTCCCTTGCATGCCATCCCGCCCCCCCCCCCACCCATTTCATCTCCTTGGGATTGAGTTGAGGTTTGGCTACTGCTGCCCTGTGCGGTCTGTGCTGGAAGTTCTCACTGCCCTGACTGCCACGCTGCTCCCCACACGTTGCAGGACCCCACTCACAACTCCAGGATGAGCACCACGTCGCTGCGGCTCTCATAGACATCGTGCAGCGTGATGACGTTGGGATGTAGCACTTGCCGCAGGATGCTCACCTCCCGCTCAATCTCCTCCCGGCAAACACCCCGCCTACTGGCCCGGTTCTGTCGCTTCTTGATGAACTTGGCCGCATACTCCAGTCCCGTGCTCTTCTCCCGACACTTCTTCACTATGGCAAACTGGCCACTGTGGGGACAGACGCACACAGTTAGGGTGTCCCTGAGGCCGTGAGTGATGTGGTGGGCTGTTAGCTCCAGGCCACACGCATTCAGTCATTCTGCCTGCCTAGGACAAATCATGCAACTAGCCAGCAGCCCCAGTAACTGAGATGGGACAGGAGAGGGGCTTCTCTTTCTGTTCATATGATTCCTTTACCTTTTACTGTGAAGGAATGTGAGTGTTGCTATTCGCAATATACATATGTAAACACCCAGGACCTGAAAGTTTGATTGGATCAAGGTGACCACAGCCAAAGCCTCAGTTTTAAGTCTACTATGCATCCGATGAAATAAGTTTACAGAGCATTAGAAAAGATTAATTAAGGAAAAACAAAAAAGATCAGCATGGTCAAAATATTAATGGCAGCAATCTTCCCTTTGGTCTCCCTTTGGAGCAAGCACAGATGCATCTGTTTGGAATTGGGACGGGACAGTTGGGAGGGGACAAACAGCCCTATCATCTCATACATGCATTCTCCCCCTTCCCCCCCTCCCCCAGGACTCTCCCAACAAATAAAATCTCAGAGACCTGAGGGAAGAAGGAGCTGTTGATAACTATAGTGGAAATTCATCATAGTAGGGGACTGATTAGACCCTGGAGTTGTAAAATGTAAGGAAACTGAGGAATAAGAGAGATCAAGTGACTCCCCTGGGGTCATCAGAGTTAAAGGCACAGCCAGGCACAGCCCATTGTGCACAAAGCTTATAAGACAGTTAGAGGAGTCAAGGCTATGCTAATGCCCTTTAGGGTTGGGCCTGGAAACTCTTTGCCCCAGGATCAAGAGAGCCATTGTGGAATGGGGTCCACGCCAGCATGGCGGGCCAGCCCTGAGTCAATGTCCCCCAGTGTTCTAGCAGCTGCCTACCACACAGGGAAAGGAAGCAAATATCCACTTTACCTTCTCATTTTAGGCCCCACTAAGCCCCTGGAAATCACCTCTCCCAGGGGATCTCCTACTTCCCTTCTATAATTTTCCACCATTGCTTCATGTTATCTTGCCACCCACAATACCTATTGCTTGAGCTAGAACTCAAAGCTTTTTTTTAAAAATTATTTATTTATACATACAAGAACTGGGGTACAGGCCAGATGTGTGAGGGGGTGAGAGGATTCACCAGAGACAGAGTGGGGAACAGAACATGTTGACAGATTGAGAAAAACACACTGCTGAGGGGAACAGTGGGTGAGACAGAAGAGTGTGCAAGCCATGTGGGTCACCTCCCTGGTTGGGGATTGAACTCTTGCTGCAGTGACTACGGACAGCTTCACAGTGCTGTGCTTTAAGCCCTTGTGCCACCTGGGAGCTCCCCTAGGACTCAAAGTTTTAAGAGTTAGCTTAACAAGGAAACACCAATCTCCACACTTAGGATGTATTCTCTCAGTGGGTCTGTGGTAAGAGTTACACACACTGAAATACACTTGGATATTTGCCGTAATCTCAGAAAATGGCATTTTATCTGAACCATTCACTACTGATGAGGCAGACTTTAAATAAACTTAAGTGACAAACGGAAATAAAAAAACAAGTTAAGCAAAAGCTAGAAATAGGTACCCAATACTTAATAACATTCTCTGTCAATGACCTTAGAGAAGTCACCAAACCCATAGGCACCTATCTCTCTACCCCCTCATGCTCCATCACTAATGTTGCCTGAGCATCTGCTCCATGTCAAACTCTGGGGCAGAGACCAACGGCACAGCTCTCTCTCCAGAGAGAGCTCTGCCATCAGGGCCTGTGACCAGGCTGAGCTGGACAGGGAAAGCTTCGTGGCACCAAATTTCTATTACATTGTCAGCTACAATTTCAGCTGTTTATGCCACCAAATATTAGTTCTGGGCTATCCACACAGTAGAGACTGATGCAGGTGGAGTGAAGCCAGACCTCTGAAAGCCACGGTGAACACATTCAGTAAGTTCTCCAACACAGCTGGTCACTTGAAGTCACTCTGGGCCTCGGGGTACATCAGGTCCCTTAATGGGTGCCAGCAAACACTTGACTAAGCTTCCATTCCCAGGTTACTGTGTGTCTCTTGGTCATGATGACCAGGCTCCTCTTCTCTTTCTGACACCTCTTGGGACTTGGCATCAGCAGCCCTGAGCCAATATTTGGAGGCATAAATAGCTGAAATTGTAGTCAGTGGACAACGTAATATAAATTTGGTCCCACAAAGCCTTCCCTGTCCAGCTCTGAGAGGATTTGCTCTTTTGAGCTGACCGATGGGGAAACCAATGCTTAAAGATTATAAGCAATTTATTTAAGCTTGTAGAGCACAGAAGTAGAAGTGCAGGGTTTTTTATAAAGCAGAACTAAATCTTACAGTTTCACCTTGACAAACTTCCTCTTTCATGGGAAAAATGGAGACATTTTTCTATAGCACATGCTTGAAAAATTCCTCAAATTCTCATAAAGCAAACGAGTGTTTGCTTTTCCTGGTTGAGTTTTCTCTTCGTAAGAGCAAGTAAGGCACTGAAAGGGTATCAGGCCTAACATGGAGTCATGGTCCTTCTGCCAAAAGGCAGTATTTTGAGAGTGAGTGACTAATCCTGAGACAAATACCAGGTAACACCCCCCTGGTCTTCACTCTCTTTGTGGGAGAGGAATCCTCATCTCAACCACTTAGGAGGTGGGGAGTAGGGTTGAGAGCCTCAGGAGAGCTACTTGCTGGCTTTCCCCTCTCCTGGGGTGGTTTGGGGAAGAGTGGGGAACATACCCCACTAGAGGGGCCCCCAAGTCACAGAAGGCTTTGGGCAGCAGAGCAAGCCTCAAGGTCAGATAGGCCTGACTTCAGGAAATTATGCAGTCACTGAAAGAAAGTGGTTACCAGCTCTGAGCATCAGTTTCCTCATCCATAAAATGGGACTCATGATTTCTACTAGGGAAGTGGAAGGCTGGAAGTATCTGTAATGGTGGCCCACAATCACTAATGGTAGCTGTTATTTATGTTATTAGTTTGTTGCTCATGTAAAGGCTGAACAAGAAGCACTGGGCACAGATGTCACTAATTTAAATCATCTGTGATATGTGGCCAGGGAAACAGAACAGTTTTAAAAGACAGACCCCCCACTCTCCACCTCTGATGATTACAGAACAAATATAGCCAGATATGGGATTATTTCTGTTTGAAGCAATTAAACTCTTTTCATCCTTAGAGCAGTGGTTCTCAACTCTGTACATCTGAGTCATCTGGGGAATTTTACACTTGATCTTAGCCAAAAATCCAAGAAGCAATATCTGGGGAATTTTAAAGTGTGGAGTCAATCCCCCAAAGAGGGTCAGACAGGCTTCTCAGTGTTCCCAGAGTAGGACTCTAGTCACTTCAGTATGGGAGCCACAGGTCAATCAAGGCCCTGTGAGCCTCAAGAGGCCTGTTACCCTTATTTAAAGAATGCCACTTATTTTGGGTTGAGAGGAATAAAGGCTAGAAGATTTTGTCCTTGCCTAAGTCCTTCACTCCTCCCTAAAAAGAGATACCTAGAAGAAGAGTTTGGAGGGTCTCATCCAGCTGTAGGTTATCCTCTCTAGGAATCTTACCTTTACTCTGAAAATAAGGATGAGGTAACTCCGGTCTGTCATGTGAAGCTTCCTCCTCTCTATGCTGCCTCAGGTCCCAAAACTCAGGATAATTATTCATGTCTGCTCTATTCATCTTTAGAATTTAATACCATGTAAATTCGTTATATGTATGTAATTAAGTTGATTTTTCCTTTGCTAAACAGATAATGTTTTGATTATTCATCCTGTCTGAGAAGAGTCCAGAGGAATACAAAATTATTTCTTTTGCTCCCAAACAAAAGCTTCTGGGGGCTGGGTTCCATCTCCAGAGGTTCTGCTCTCCTGGGTCTGGGCTGCAGCCTGGGAATAGAGATTTAGAAGTTCCCCAGTGATTCTGATGTGCAGCCATAGGTTGAGAAACATCAACAGTTCTCTGATTATCTCCATTTTACAGACAGAGAAACACTAAAGTAAAGAAGCACTAAAGTATGTTTTGTCTTGATGCAGTGGATGGTAGAACCTATTTACAATAGGCAATTTTGAGGACCCTGGGGTGACCTTACCCTACTCAGTAACAGTATGAAACAAGGACTTTACCACCCAATACTGTAGAGAGGTGCAAGGTGTGGACGGGTGGAACTCTGTGCCTGAGGCTGACTTGCAAGTCACTTAAAGGGCTTAGGGAGGGAGAGTAAATCTATTAGACACAAACTACTTTCCTCCTTCTGCCAGCACTCTTCTCCCGAAATTATGTCAGGAACACACCCCTCTTTCAGTTTCTCACTTACTCATCACTCCAGGAAAAGGAGCAGTCTGCATAGACATGAATGTCACAGAGAGATGAGTCTCAGTGACCCAGGGGTCACCCCATGAAGGTCTCCTGCTGTCTGCCCAGGAATCAAGGAAAAGAAAGAAGTAAATCTAAAACAGATTCTCAGTGCCAAGAAATGCAAATCAAAACCACAACAAAATATCACCTCAGACTGGTGAGAATGGCTAACATCAAAAGTAAAAAAAATAAGTACTGACAAGGTGTGGAGAAAAAGGAACCTTCAGAGTTGGTAGGAATGTAAATTGCTGCTGCCACTATGGAAAACAGTCCAACTGCTGGACAACTGAATCAAGATGTGGTGTAACCACTTGGTGGAAAACCATTAAAAAGGTGAAACATTGCCATTTGCATTAATATGAATAGATCTTAAAGCGATTATGCTAAGTGAAATTAGCAAAAAGGAGAAAGACAAATACTATATGATTTCATTCATTTGTGAAATATGAGGAGAAAAAGGCAAATGAGTAAACAAAACTGAAACAAAACCAAACTGTAGATTCAGCCAACAGGTGGTTACCAGAAGGGACAAATGGAGGTGGTCTGGGGTAGTAACCTAGAGAGGACCAACTGGTTGTTGGTGAATGATGATTGGACATTTGATGGTAGGTGTAGTGTCATATATAGAGTTGCTGAGGTGAGAAA